CCCCCTACCCCTGCCCAGCCACATCAAGGATAAGGGAATCGTATCTCCACACACTCCTAACCCAAGTACAGCAGTGACACAGAGAATGGGAGACCACCCTACATGACCTACAACAAACACCACTAACCTGACCTTGATCTTGTTTGGGTTGCCTGTACTATTGTGTCTATACATGTGTCCATTTTTCTGGATTATGCCATTTAATCCTTACAAAACCCTGGAAGAGGGCAGTTACCATTGCCCTCCCCCCACCCTCCCACCACTGGGGCAAAATGGGAAAACTGAGGCTGAGAAACTGGCCTATAACCTTGGGCAGATGCTCAGGGCACTTCACCCTCATCTCTGTGCCTCAAGGCCTGCTCTGGGCCAGTGGGCAGGGCAGGCTGGACAGGCCACAGAGTCAGTGCCCCTGGGGCAGCCCTCGACCTCTGACAGAAGGTGAGTGGGTACATAAGTACCCCAGCCCCGTTGCCCTCAGCTAGGACAACTGAAGTGTCTCTCCATCCGGTAAGTTCGCTCCAGGTTAACTTGCTGAGGGCACTCAGTGTTTTCTGCCTTTCCTTCCTGCCTCACTTCCTCACTCCCCAACCTGTGCTCCTGGAGGTCACCTCCCAAATAAGCTACTTGCCCTCAAACCCCTTTATCAGGCTCAGCTTCTGGAAGACCCCAAACTAAAAGAGGGGTGGGGTCAGTACTCACACTTGAATCTGACACCAAAAACTATGCCCTGATAGCCACACCATGCTGCCTGGGTAGAGCAGGGAAACCCCCCAAATTTAAACATACACAAAACTGATAAAGCAACAGATACTAGGAACAGGTGTATTTTTCCCTCCTAGTCATCTTCTTCCCTGGACTTGAAGAAAATGATAGAGATCAAGAGGCAGAGAGACCACGGAAATCATACTGTTTTGAGAGTTTCCCTCTAGGGGGACTTTCATCCCCTTATGAAAAAGAGAAGGCTCCTTCCCAAATGACTCCGCCCTCATTCCCTATAAGCTGCTCCTAGTATCCATCATGGCCTTCTTCCAAGAGTCAAAGCCCTTGATGTGGGTAGGGGCACAAGGCTGCCTAGAGGGAAGACTACATTTCCCAGCCTTCCTTGCAGCTAGGTGTGGCCATGTGACTAAGTCCTGACCAATGGGATATAAGCATAAGTCTGTGGCAGCTTCCAAATATCTTCCATAAGAGACGCTGTGGGTGTGCCCTTCTGTGTCCTTTCCTCCACCCTGCAGAAGGCCAGGCAGAGCCTTCTGAGCCTCAAATACTTCAGAGTGGCATGCTGAATTGCTAGGCCAGACCTTCCACAAGACGGAAACAAATTCCCATCCTGGATAAGCCAATGTCACTTTGGAGTTTATGCCATTTGTGGTTGAAACAAATCCTAATTAGCACTCAGCCCAACCCACAAAGCATAGGTTTCAGGGCCCCTGCACACGCATGCCATCCATGGGCTCAAGTCAAGTACCGAAAGAGGCCTCTAGAAAACCATGCTGTTGTAGGGCGAGTTCCAACCTAGGGAAAGAACAATCAGGAATATGTGCGCTGCGCACACTCCCAGTCCTAAAGCCACCTAAGAAGCTCAGCTATAACCAGCAAGCAAAACATATTTGTACAAGTCTTACATTTCCCACCAGGATGTCACAGTTAGCAGTGTCTTTTGTGTGTGGCTCTAACGGAGCCAGAAATTCTGTTTTAATGGCTAGTTAGCTTCGCGAATAAAACTGTTAACAAAAATCCAAATTTTCTCATTGCTCTTTCCTGCTAGAAACATCCAAGAATTTCTGTAGCTTAAAAACATGTTTGATAAATAATGCAATAATGTGTTATCGTGGGTAATTTTCATGCTGTAAAGACAAGTCTAGATATTAAAGGCAAGTGATTTCATTATAAAGACTTCATAATAAGAAATGATATGGGGCACCTGGGTGGTGCAGTCGGTTAAGTGTCTGACTCTTGGTCTCAGCTCAGGTCATAATTTCACAGTTCGTAAGTTTGAGGCTCTGCACTCACGGTGCAGAGCCTATTTGGGATTCTCTCTCTCCCCCTCCTGCTTGCTCTCTCTCTCTCTCTTTCTCAAAATAAATAAATAAAAATTTTTAAAAAGTTTAAAAAAGAAATCATGATATATTCATATATATATCCACATAAGCGAATATACAAATGAATTCATAAAGTGAAAAAACACATTGGCTTTAATTACCTGATTGTTTTACATAATTACTTTTGGTTTTTAGCAATTTAGATAATTGACGGTATTCATTAATGTATTTTGGTAGTTTTATTTGTTTTTATTTCATTCTGTTTTATTTAGTCTTCATTTGATGTGCTGAAAACCTGATTTTGAAATTATTCAACTATCCTAGAAGAGAATATGCCTACCAAGGCTGCACTATTTTCACCTGGTTTTGGCTAACCAATAACTCACCTCTGGGATTAAAACCAAATTTGGTGTGTATATACCCCTGCATGCAGGGGTATGGGTATGATTTTTATTGCAATTTTCAAATCCCAAGACTTTAGTTGGAATATTAAAGTATCTGCAAGGGGGCAATGGGAGGCAATAAATTAATGGAAATGATTAAATAAATCACAGAGTCTGAAGCTCCACGATAAACATACAACTCAGAACCAAGTAAAATCACCAAAAGATCAGGAAAATTCAACATGGCCGTTCCTTCAATGAGGGCTCAAAGGAGTCCTGTGCTCCCAGCCAAATCTCAGTAGACTGGGGCCTAATAACTAAGCAAAGACCATTTGGGGATCCAGCGTTTCCTGTTGGCCTGTGGAGCTGCCCTGGGTGTCTGAACCAGTGTACATTTCCCTTTGCTTTAGAAAACATGAGCTTCATTTGAATGAGGGTCCTATCTCTGGACCTCACTCCCCAGGAATCCAAGAATGACTTCTCTTCAAGACCCTGTGTTCTAGAAAGCATAAGGTGCGAAAACCCGAGTTCAAGTCCTGCCACCCACAGTTTTGCCATGAAGGGCTGTAACAGGTGGATTTCCAGATCCTTTCTTCCGGCTCCAAATCTGTTTTTAGGGATCATACCCAGAAACAGGGCTGATAGGAATGAAATCAATGAGTCTGACTGATTAATATGTTCAGTACACACTGTTGAATATCCTGCCCAAGATTCAGATTAAGCATGTGGAACTCAGGGGCACCTGGGTGGCTCAGTCAGTTAAGCGTCTGACTTCGGCTCAGGTCATGATCTCACAGTTGGTGAGTTCCAGCCTAGCATTGGGCTATGTGCTGACAGCTCAGAGCCTGGAGCCTGCTTTGGATTCTGTGTCTCCCAAGCTCTCTGCCCCTCCCCCACTTGTGTTCTATCTCTCTCTCAAAAATAAATATTAAAAAAAAAAGTTCTTTTAAAGAACGTGGAACTCAAACATAGAGCACGTTTGGAGAAGACGCTCTGACTACCCTAGACCAGGGGCCCCCAAACCTGGCTGTTCACTGGAATTATCAGTGGAGCTCATAAAACTTAAAATTGCTGGGCCCCATCTGAGGTCCAGGGTGGGGCCTGGACATCTGTATATTTAAATTAGTTTATGTAATTTTAAAATAGATAAATCTCTTACATGATTAGACAATTTTTTTTAATTACCTAAAAAGCTGTTCCATTAAAAGTCTCCCTTCCTATCTCTCCCATTGCCCAGCTCCTACTCCCCTATCCTCCACAGGTAATCAGTGCCATTGGGGTTTTGCATGTGTCTGTGTCCCCTTTTTCCTAATGCAAGCAAAAAATTCTACTCTTCCCCCCCCCCTTTTTTTTTTAAAGTAAAGGATAGTAACATGCTATTCTCTTGTTTTACAATTGGGTAGCATCTCATTGCATATATGAAGCACAATTTGATCTCCTATGAATAGGCATTTAGGTTCATTCCAGGCTTTTGCTAATGCAGATCACACTGCCATGTTGGCATGTATTTTACACCGGCCGGATCATCAAAAAATAAATTCCTTGGGAATGCAAGCTGGTGCAGCCACTCTGGAAAACA